ACTTATGCCATTTTCGGATGCTAAATTTTCAAAACTTAATTCAAAATAAAAAGAAGATAAAAATAGCACTTTCTAAAAGTGAAATTCCCTCTGAAGTTGAACAAACTTGAAACATGCAACAGCTGGAATGCGAAGAAGAGCAAAGAGGAATTTTTAAACAAATTTTGGAGGAAAATATTCTTAAGTGAAAATCACGAGAAATAACTTTCTTATTTTTTTTTTTTTTTTTACCTTGTAAATTACATTGGGTGTTAAATAAATGAAATAATAAAAACTCTAAAATAGTCGGCAAATGTGCAATATGCAAAATAATAATGTGCAATGCGCAGAATAGTGCCGCATAACTATGGCTAAAGTTGCGGACCAGAAAGAAATGTAATTCACATGTGAGTAAATAGAACTTTTTTCTAAACTGTTGCAACTTTTAAAAATTAAAATATATTGTATAATATTTTGTTTATAAGAACATTGCTTTCTAATTTAGATAAATAATAAAACAAATATGATTTACTGTTTAAAATATATTTTGTTTTTTATAATAGTTTGACATTTATACAAACAATTGTAAACATTTTCATTAACAAAACTGTTTGTTCAAACTTGAATAAGCCTTCAATTAAATTCATTTGTGAGTTTTACTTTTTCTTTAATCTAATTTTAATCTTTTCTAATTTTATACTTCTTGTTATCAACTTAGCTATCTACTACCTGACCAAAACAAAAATGTATTTAATTTTATTTAATTTTTTTTAGTTCGGTTGTCATACAAGTAATTCATACTTGAATTCAAATTGAAGATACCGAAAAGTGAAATTTGGAATTCTTTGAAAAACTGAATAAGTTTGAAGCTAAATGTAAAATTTACTTTAAATTTTACAAAATAAAATGAGGCAGTACATCGACGATAACCAGCCATGTTAAAACCAAAAATGAAAAATCTTGGAAGGAGCATCTTTTAAAAACCATCGAGACACCTAATAAACGAAAGCTTGATAAAACAAAAGACGCCAAAACAACAACAATTGAAAGTATTATATTAAAAAAAACAAAAATGAGTTAAATGAGTTAAATGATCCAAAGCAATTAAAGTTTGACTTAGATTTAACAAAGTTTGGCTGTAATCTAGGTCTACTTTTTGAAATTTTGGATAGTAAAAGAGCTCAAGAATTTATTGATGAAGTAAATAATAAATTCACTGTCAAATCTGCATCAACATTTAGACGTCATAAACTTCCAATGTTGTATGACAAGATTAAGAAAGGGTTGCAACTAGAGTTTGGCAAAGATTTTCCAAATGTGACTGGTGTTAATTTTACAACAGATCTCTGGACAAGTCGAAACAATGGTTCCTTCATGAATCTTACAATTCACTACATTAATTCAGATTTTAATTTATTGAGTTTTTTCATTGCTTGCTCACCATTTACTGGTAGACACACCGGGGTAGCAATTGCAGTAAACCTGGATTCTTTTATTGCTAATTTGAACTTAAATGAAGAAGTGCACAGAGCCTGCGTTAATGACAATGGCAGCAACATTGTTTTAGCTGCTAAAGAAAGTGATGAAATCAACTCTTGAATAACTAGCTGGATTGTGTGAGTTGCGCTGCAATGATCACACAATCCAGCTAGTTATTCTTAAAGCGATCAAAAATTCAATTGAACTTTCAAAAGCAATAAAAAACTGCACGGATTTAGCATCACACACACGAAAAAAGAGAAAAGAGGACTTTAGAGGATTTTAGAGGAGCTGTGGCCACCTTAAACTCCCTAAAAACTTTGTTTATCATATAATATATACAGTGCCGGCCTTAGCCTTCTTGCCACCATCGTGCGAAATTTTTTCTGCCGCCCCTCACAATATATAAATTTGCTGGTTAATTACACGAAAAATAACAAATCAAATTTAAAAATAATACTTTACAATTAAATGCTACATACAAAGAAACGTTTTTTGTTTATGTTTTACACAAAACACATTTAATTTTTTAAATTAGCTATTTTTTTGAGTCTTTTTATCACCAAAATCTTTGATTAGCGTAGAAAAATCAAGATTTTCAGTAATATCGTTTTCAATCGATAGGGTTCCTAAACTGGAAAGTCTATCCTGCGACATTGTTGACCGCAAATAGGTTTTTATAAGTTTCATTTTGAAAAAACTTCTTTTTCCACTCGCTACAGTAACAGGTTTTGTTAGCAAAATTCGCATTGCAATTCATGTGCTTGAATACAAACCTTGCATTTTATGCTGTTTTATAAAGTTTAAAACAATAATAGGAGTAATTTTATTCTGGATCATTTCATAAAGAAAAGGTTTAATGCTCATCATGTTCATCGCAAAGAAGAACACTATTAATATCCGATTTTAGATTTACGGTAAGTTTACTTTGAAGGGCTAAACATGATTTTAGAATTTCTTCTCTTTTTTGCAAATTATCGACATTATATAAAAAACCCCAAACTTCTGTATAATTCTCCAATCTTTCTCTCATTGAAATTAGAGACTTGTATAAAAGAGGATTGAAGAAATCAATTTCTAATTTTTTTCAAGAGAAAATGAATAAATCCCATTTAATCCCAATCCCAATAAATCCCATATAATAATCCCAATAAATCCCATTGGTTTGTCAAAATAACGTTTTACTCGTACTATTCTTTACAGAAACTTGGTGACATGAATCATTGTTGATTTGTGGAGACTTTAATTTGCCAGGGATTAACTGGGATTCGAGCAGTATCCCAACTGTCAGCAACACAGATACCCTTTCAAGTAATTTTATTGACATCCTCGCCGAATCGTTTTTGATACATTTTGCTACTAAGCCCACTTTTCAACTTGATCAAATTACATCGAACAATACACTGTAAAAAATGTCACGCCAAATTGTCTAGTAAAATTGCCATGTCACGAAGCCGATTTAACACGCGACATTGAGAGTAGTGTTCGGCAAAATCAAATATACGTCAAACCTTTAAAGATTTGAATTTGAACTGTTCTTTGAGGGGATAGATTTGAATTTGATTTGACAAATATCTGGAGGATTTGGATTTGATTTTCAAATATTCACTTTGTTCTCAATTTTTGCGTTTGAAAAAAAAACGCCAAATTTTACAGGCCCGCAAACATAAATATCACTTTATTCCGGGGTCTTTGCAGTGGTTTCCGGAATGGCGGTCGCCTTTCAATAACGGAAAAAAAAAAAAAAAAAAAAAAAAGAGTTTTTAATTAAAGTTTGTTAATATTAAAGAGAAAGTAAAGAGCATAGAGAAAGAAAAAAAGAAAAGAAATGTAAACAAAGTACAAGATTAAAAGAAAAAACGTAGAAAAAAAATATATGTAAAAATGAAAAGAAAAAATTGCAAATACAATTTAACCACAATAAAAATGGAAAAAGTAAAACAATAACGAATCGAAAAACATTCAGAGAAAGAAACAATCATTCGAAAAAAGAAAATAATAAAAAAATATAATGGCTTGCTTGAAAGCAAAGAATTTTTTTTTTTAATTTTACTATAACTTATTTTTATATTTCCAGGTTTCAGGTATATTTCCTAATTTATTTATTTGTTAATCTTTTTTTTGTCGGTTTAAGTTTGCCGTTTTGTTTGTAGTATGTTTGTGAAAACTTGTGTTGTTGTTGCTTTTGTGTTTGTATTGTTTGCTGTTACTGTAGCTGTTTTTGTAAATTTGATCTGTTTATGTATGTTTTTTTTTTTTTTTTAAACTATATTATGATTATTTCTATTTTAATATTCGTTATTCTTATTTTCATTAATTATTTTTCCTTGTTTTTCATTATAATAGTTGCTATATGTCATTGTTTACTTTTATGTTTTGCTTTACTATCTGCACTGTCCTGGACCCAAGATTTGGTATTGAATATTACAAAAATGATAAGGGCGCAAACAGCGAGTCGTATACAAAGATTATGGACACAGTCAATTGTGAATATCAAATCAATTATGCCCCAAGCAATATTACAACTGCTACAAGCATTCAAAACGTTTCAAAATATACCCCGTTCAAATCGCGTGTTTCATCAAACCCATGTAATGAGTTTGAAAACTATTGTAATGATACAAGTAAGCTAGATGGCGGCAATAATAGCAACATATTACTTTGGTGGAAATCTCGATCTGACAAATATCCAAACCTATCCAGAATGGCCAGAGATTACCTGGCCATTCCTGCTACATCTGTATCATCAGAAAGGCTCTTCTCATTAGGAAAAAATCTTATTACTGACAAAAGAAATCTTCTCTCTGCAGATACCATTCAAGCTTGCCAGTACTTGAAGTCTTGGTTGGATTAAAAAGAATAAAAGAAGCTGTAATGTGTGAGAAATAGTAACAAATGCTGTAATATGAATAAAATTTATAGATTCAGATAACTAAAATTAATAAATGAAATAAGTTAAATAACGTTCAAATATACATCAAATCTTGGAAAGATTTGAATTTGATCTAAATTCAAAATAGGAAGATTTGAATTTGGCCATTTCAAACATTTGACGCATATTTGATCAAACTATTTGAATTTGTGCCGAACACTAATTGAGAGTCAATTGTCACGCGACTTTTAGATATTAAATTTGGCGTGACATTTATAATTAAAGTAGCCACGCGACTTTTAGCAATTATGTATGGCGTGACATTTATTATTAAATTTGTCACGCGACTTATTAAAAATAAGTATGGCGTGACATTTTAATTCTTTATTTGTCACGGGACATCTAAAACACTATCGTTTCGCATGTCGCCAAGCCCGATTTTTCACGCCACATTTAGAAAATTAAAATGTGGCGCGTTAAATCGGGCTTGGTGACATGCGACATGATAGTGTTTTTGATGTGCCCTGACAAATAAAAAAATAAAATGTCACGCCATACTTATTTTTAAAAAGCCGCGTGACTAATATAATTATAAATGTCACACCTTGATGAATTAAATGATAAAATGGCACACTTTACTTAAATAAAATAAATAAAAAGACCATAAAAA